GAAAGTGAGCATTTTATTGACAGTTTGACTTATTCTCAACACTGTATTTTTACTTTATTCTCGGTTTTTCAACTGGACTGACTTGGTGGGGAGATGAATTTCTCCCCCACTTTATTTTTCCCTAATCCTGTGTAACATTGGTTGGGCTGAAAATGGCATATATGCTGTTCTATGGGCCCTGATGCAGCCTGGTTAAAAGCCCAAGAATGAAACGACAGGTTTTCTTCCTTTTATGGTATGATAATGAATACTTCGATGAGCTGTGCGCTGATTGGTTGGTTTACATGAGCGAAGCTGCATCATAGCAACAAGCACTCACTCACTAAAAGATCAAAATTGTTGTTATGGTAGGGTGACCAGACGTCTTTTTTTTCCCGGACATTTCCTACTTTTTATACCAAAAAAATTGTTTGGGGGGAATTTCAAAATCATCCGGGAGTTTGCTCGACTACAGTGCAGCATGTGAACCAAAAGGCTGGTCTGTATGTCAATTTCTGGGCGTGACAAAAGTACAGGTCAGAACCAAATAAGGCAACATCCTCGAGTTTATGTCAACACGGTGCTTCATTTGGATTCACCCATTTTATAATGGAAGTTAAGAATCGTGAGATTTGCAGAAAGTTATTCATCAATGCAAATGTAGACTCGGTTTTGCATTCAATGACCCCTTCAAAATCAAATTACACTGAAACTGTAATAACTGATTATCCCTCAGCAGCATGTGGGATAATCTCAGCCTCTATCTGAAATCCAAATGTTCATTCACATGATTTTTTTCAATGAAACCTTTTTTCATTTCTGTGAAGCTGCTGCCTGCATTCCCCCAGGCTATCACACCATGAGGATGTCACACCAGCCATGCTCCATCCACAAGGCAGGCTGTGGTGAATATTCTGTACTCAGACTAACTTAATCAATGCTAATCTTCCACTGGAATAACCTTTTACTACTAAAAACATCCTTTCATCCATTTGGGAACCACTAAAATTAAGACTCAATATTTCAAATCTCAGTGGCTCATTTATGGTTTTGAGGAATTAATGTTTTTGTAAATGAAAATATGTTGGAACTTTAAGGGTTTATAGCAGAAGTCATGGTTTAGCGGACCGCGGTCCGGATCTGGACACACCCGCTGGCTGATTTAAAACCTGATTTAAAACATTTAGAAATTACCACGTTGTCCGACGGCAGTGTCTAACTCCACTTGCGCCGCTTCTCCTGTTAATATGGTAAAGCCATCCGGATTGTCAGGCACCAGGCTACACTTGATTCAAATTAGCCAATGAGCTGTGTCAGTCTGGGCTACTGCTGCTTGCTACTTTTAGATAGTCTAGTAAACTAGTCCACCTGCCAGCGGCCAAAATCATTTTCGCCTGCGAGTGGTCTAGCCTCCATCAATGCCCCAGGCCCTAGAACTGGCTGGCCAATCACAACGCAGAGATGTGTTTTGAATGCCTGGATACAAAGTGGGCGGGGTTTTGAGGGCATGACGACAAAGCTGCACAATGCTGGAGAAAGCACATCAAGGAAGATGGCAACGACTATTGAACAGTTCTGGTTTGACTTTGTTTTGGAAGGATTAGACTTGGGGTTTTCGTTGAAACATGAGCAGGAAGAGAAGGACGTATTCACTGTATTACCGACAAGATGTCTGTTTACACTCTCCCACCTGCTTTCTGTCGCGCTTCCTACGTCACAGCCAGTTTTGCTCATTGGTCAGGGCGTTGGCCACTAGGCAGTAGGCACAGACATGGTTTGAAAAACAATCTTCCGATGTCTCATTCATTGGGGCCAGACTAAATAACACATTTAATCTAGTTTATCAGGCTAACTTTTAGACACAGCAGGCAAACCCATGGCAAGCCGGGCGATGGGAAACAAGGAAAAGAT